GGCGGGGCCGGGACCGGGTTCCTCCCCTGACCCGGCACCCCGCCCCCGCCTGCAGGTGAGGGAGGAGTACCGGAAGTGGGCCTGCCTGGTGGTCGGGAACAAGTACTCAGAGTTCAGCTCGTCCTCCACTGGCACTGGCCAGCAGCAGACTCGGGTAAGGGGGAGGGGTGCCTGAGGCGGGGTGCAGGCAGGACCTGGGCAGGGGCAGGGCCAGGCCCAGGCCTCATGGGGTTCTCTCTGCAGGTCCTCAGGCCCTCGGAGTCCGGCATGTGAAGGCCCAGCATGGCCAGGCCAGCAGCTTTTGCACAAGACAGCTCCCTCCTCTCCTGGCTCTCTCATCCCTGGCGGCCTAGGGAGCTCAGAGCTCCAAGGAGACCATTGACCACTGCAGCGTGGAACCCTGGAACACCCCGCCGGGGTGCAGGGGGAGCCAGAAGTCCTGTTCTGGCTGTGTCTCTGCCCCAGGGCCATGGGGCCAGTCCTGAGGACAGAGGGCTGGCCCCCAGCTTTGCTACAGAACTGGAGAGGCCAGGGTGCTGGGGCTCAGCCTCCCTCTTAAGCTAAGACTGATGTCAGGCCAACAAGGGCAGGGCCCTCCACCCCTGCCCGAGGTCACGGTACAGAGGCCTCCTGCCCCCACTCGGGGAGAGGTCCTCACTGTTTTGAAGGTCGTGGATGTCGTGTTGTGTTTTTTATCTGTATAAACCTGTCGATGTTGACACTTACATAATTAAACATCACACTGATACAGAAGTTGGTGCTGTTCGCTGGGAGGGCAGGCCCGAGTGGTCTATGAGATGCCGACAGACGAAAGAGAACCAGATGGGGTGGGAGCCAGGCTTCCGTAATAAAAATTTATTCTTACACAAATCTACAGCTTTCCAACAGTAAAAAGAGAGACCCATCTGTCGCCAGGAACGATGACGTGAAGCAGCAGGTGGGGAGTGGGGCGGCTCCGGGCCGTGGAGGCGCGTGGTTACCGGCTCTGTTCAACTGCAAGACACAGGGGAGGCCCGTGAGGGGGCCGGGCCGGGCCGGGCAGGTCCCCGGCTGACCCCAGACCCCGCCCGAGGCACTTACTGTATGTGGAGATGTCGATCTCTTCCGGAAGTTCTGCTACGTTCACTTCGAACCGATCCTGGACGTCATTGAGGATTTTGGCGTCGTTCTCATCAGACACGAACGTGATGGCCAGGCCTTTGGTGCCAAAGCGACCCGCACGGGCCACCTGCAGGGGACAGGGTCCGGGTCAGGCTGCGGGCGAGGTCCTCCCCGACTGGCAAGGAGCACCTGAGGCGACGCCCCGTGGGCCACTCACCCGGTGGAGGTAGGTGTCCGAGTCCTCGGGCATGTCGTAGTTGAAGACGATGTTGACGCGCTCGATGTCCATCCCTCGGCCAAACAGATTGGTGGCCACCAGGATCCGCCGCTGGAAGTCTTTGAACTGCTGATAGCGTGACAGGCTGGGTGCAGGAGAGACAAGCGGAGGCCGTCAGCAACCGGGCTCCTGGGTGGCGCTCCCTGCGACCTTGGCGGGCGGCGGGCACTCACCGCTCCTCCTGGGCCATGCCCCGGTGGATGGCGATGGCCGGGAAGTTCTGCTCCACGAGCAGCTGGGCCAGGGCCATGCAGCGCTGCACCGACTTGACGAAGATGACCACCTGCAGGACAGAGCGCGGGCGGGCGGGCGGGCGGTCAGGGCCGGATCCTGCGCCCAGGCCTGACCACCTGCAGGACAGAGCGCGGGCGGGCGGGCGGGCGGTCAGGGCCGGGTCCT